GAGAACCTGTTAGATTCGCTTCCTTCCAAGAGACACGTGGAGGTACTGCTGGTGGCATCCCAAAGTTTATCTTATTTCAATCTCGGGAAGTGCTGAGTGTTCCTCAGAGCATGCAGGCAGGTTCCAGCTCCCTGCGAGAGGCACAGCGGAGCTGAGGAGAGCTTGAGTTTGCTCCTGCACGCGGGGTTCCCACATGAACATGTTCTGATGCACCTTTTTCATGTTGTTGTGCAGCACTCCCATGCTGTCTCTCCACTATGAGAGGCACAGAAAAGAGAAGCCAGATTGCCACTCTGGGTCAGTTCTTGTATTTTTGGTTTGTGCTCACCGTGGATGGGATGATGCACAGGAGGAGAGTTAAACTAGGGTGTCATCTGTTACACCTGAGGTTACTGTGGAGTGATCCTTTGAGTGGTGTTTTGAAATTTAAAATGCAAACAAAACCCACCTTATAATCATGTTCCACGACAACAGGCGAGGGCAGCAGCTGGAAGTTTTCCTCTCAGGACGGAGCCCTGCCTGTAGCCCAGCAGCACTGCTGTTACATGTTGCAGTAAGGATCTACTTAGAGGAAGCGGCTGTGTGCCTATCCTGTATGGAGGGGAAGCAGGGAATGTTGGTAAATGTTACTGTTCTTCTAAATGTTTGTGTGTAGACAGACCAGGGATATTGCCACCTCTCGTAGCTGTCACAACCCGGATAGTCCTTCCTTTCCTCCCCAGTACGAAGCTACCAGAAGGGGAAGAAGGGCTTGCAGCTCGGTGCTGCACCTGGCTCAGTAACACAGGACGCAGTGTTCTGCAGCAGCCCTACAGTAAGGAAACAAATATGCACATGTAGCAGAGAATACCAGATTTCACTCAGGAAACCAACTTCAAGCTTCCAAGCAGTCAGTGTAAATAGCAAAATGCTCAGCTTTGAAAACCTCCACGAGCTTGGCACTGGCCCTTTGCAGTGACAATATGCAGTTTGAAAACTGTTGGACTCTCTTAGAAATAAGTAACTCCATTTAAATCACAGGAGATGCGCTGCTGCAATTGGATGAGGACAAAGCTGTGCTTCTCCCCTGAGCTCCCCCTCCCGCACACAGCTGCTATCCTCGGCTTTTGTTAGGTGATGATTTGTGTAAACCCATTTTGGAATGCAGTTGCTCTGATGAATGGAGCAGTTGCTCTGATGATCTGTTAATCCTTGGTTTCGTGCTAATTGGGAAGGTCGAATTTGGCTGACAGAATGGCTTTGAGGCTGCTGCCTTGTTTTAAAAAAGTAGCAGAGTGGGCCACTGCCACTCCGAATCCACGCACACAGGGACGCAGAAATGCCTCGGGGCCAGCAGGTCCCTTCACTGCGTGTGAAAAGGTGAAATCCTTTGGAACTTCAATCCGTTGATCTTTTTCACCCGTGTTTTAACTCTCCTTAATTGCATCTGATGAGAGCACCTGGGGAGACTGCGGGGCCACGTGCTGAGTAGTTGAGCTGCTGGTAGCAGTCGTGTGTCTGCAGCGTCTGGTGTGCTGTTCAGGTATTGCATAGGACGTGCAGAGCCCTGCTTCCTTTTGCTATTGTGAGAGGAGGAAAGATCGTCTTTTGAACTGTGCGTAAAGACTGCGGGGCAGAGCGGCAGCTCTGGAGTGTCAGCGCGGGCGCAGCGCTGCGGGGCTTGGAGCATCCCGAGCAGGGCTGGGGCTTACTGAGCCTTGGGAGTCCAGAGGGAGTGTGACGGAGTTTGCTGAAGCTGACGGGGTGTGAAGAGGTGCGGTGTTGCTTGGATGTGAAGCTTTCTTTAAACTCCCTTTCAAATGAGAACGTTTTGTTGGTGAATCAATGGGTGATTCAGCAGTAAGAGCAAAGGCTGAGAAGTGCCCAGGGGAGGGGAGGTGGGGAAGCACTGTAATAACGCTTGTGGCGTGGAGGTGCCACAGGAGCTGGGTCGCTCCCTGTGACGTCTGTCCAACTGTGTTCAAAAAGTTGTCTGCAGGAGGAGCCTGGTGTGTATGCTGGGATGCAGGAACGGACGAATCCTTGGAGATGGCAGAACCCGGGGTGCAAAGCTGCACCTTTAGAGTTTCCATATAATGGTTTTAAAGCTACTTTGGTTCTTGAAAAACACCACCGTTGGGTCTCTTGGTCCCAGCAGCCCTCTTGGAGCGGATGTAGTGGCCCCTCACCTCCTGCTGCCTGCCACCTCTGGGCAGGGGTTTGCTGCCCTCTGCTCCTGGGGGCAGCTTTTCCTCCCCACCTCGTGGAGATGTACGGGCACTGCTGCCTCCCTGGGCTGCTGCACGTTCTTACTGGTGCAGCAGAGGGGGAACCTTTCCCTACACCCCGTTTTCTCTCTCCCTGACACTGTTTGGAAGAACAAACCCTGTGCTGTTTTCACACGGGTCTCACAGCTCAGGCTGCTGCTCTGCGCCTTGGCAGTGAGCTGAGAGCAGCCAGCCCTGCTCCTGCTGCGACACAAACAAAAACTACTGATTTCAGTGGCAGAATTCTATTTCTGGAATGCAGCGCTTGCTGCTTTGCCCAGCCGCCCCGTTTCCCTCCCGGTGAAGTCAGAGTGTTGCGCTGTAGCGTCACAGGCGTGGGCAGCAGTGCCTGGGACAGTGACTTCGCCACAGCAATGAAGGCATGCAGGGCCTGGGACTCTCCCAAAAAACCTTCATCCTGCGGGGACTGGAGCCCCGGCGCTGAGCCTCAGCCCCATGCAGCCCCGCTACTGTCTGCAGCCCAGTCCCATCCCGGTGCTGCTGCCTGCTGTATTGATAACTGGATGGTGGGGCAGGGGTGGGGGGTAGAGAAATGTTTTTGCTCTGGGGAAGGCTGTGGGTGTTGTCTGCTTGGCACAGGGTGCCTGCCGTGCTCTCTCCCTGCTAGCAGTGTGAGCAATCTGGCTTTGTGTGGCCACAAAGCACTGCAGTGCTGTGAGGAATGCCGTGTGGAGGCACGGTCGTGTTGCAGCTTGTTGCTGTTCTTAAGTGGGGTTATTGACATCTGGAGCATGGATCTTCCTTGGGAGGGTGAACATGAATGGTGAAAGTGCTCATTTAGACACAGTATTTCTGTGAAAGGCAAAACTAAAGTCATCTGAAGGCTGATTTTTAATGAACAGAAAGAGGGGGAGTTGTTTGCAAGACCTTAAAATTACACGTGCACATCCAAGTATCTTGCTGCTTTCCTCATACCCTCCAGTGCCAATCTCAACACACCAGCTTCAGAGCTTGGCACGAGCTGTGAGGAGCTGCAGTGCTGTCCCTGCTGCGTGTTGCCCAGCAGCTGTGGCACAGATAAGGAGCGGATGTGTGGGGCAGCTGCTGCTGGAGCTGTGGGGAGCAGGGCGGCCCTGATCTTTGGCTGAAGCTGCGAGTACTGGTGGTGGTGTGAATCTCATTTCAAGCCTCGCCTTTTTGGTGCTGATTTTGCTTTATTGCAGCAATTTAAATCTGAATTATTCTTCTGCAAGCAGTGGGAGTGATGTTTTTGTGACAGCCAAGAGGTGCGCTGCTCTACTGAGCCCTACGGGGGGGTGAGCCACACCAATATCTGGGTATGATGCAACAGAATCTGGGTGATGTGAGTGACACGGGAATTCCCACAAGTGAGATAATGTGCAAAGATGTGTGCTGCTCCAAGTTCAGCTACTTGTTGCTTTTTCCCTCCCCCCCCCCAAGATCGATGGGCCAGGATTAAGTGCCAGAAGGAACCTTAAAAGCTCTGCAAACTGGGCTTCCCAGTCATCTCTGGTTCCGTCCCATGTAGATTCTTTGTGTGGCTGGGGTTGGTTGGCTGGTTGGTGTTTTTCAATAAACACTATGCTCAGCAGTTCCTGTGAAATTGCTCTTTAAACAGAGTTTTCTCCAGATTGTGCAAAACATTCAGCACAAAAAGCAGCAGCAGTCCATGCTGAGACTCTGTCTTCATTTGCACGCTCTTCAGGCTGAGTTAATTTTACCAAAAGTTCCTCCCAGAGCTGATGAGTCCCATACTTGGGAAATGCTGTCACTTTGGAGGAGAAAATGGGGTTCATCATCAAAAAGTAAAGGTGGCTTTGAACTTTTCCTTACATTCACTACAAACCCATCTGTGGAGGTTTTTGCTTTTGTGTTCAGAGGAATTCAGTAGTGAAAACTAACAGAAAACCCCTGAAATTAAATCACAGTTGCTGTGTGTGGAAGCATCACTATGGGCTTCTCAGCTTCTCTGCTTTTGCACAAAGTGCAGTTGTGTCCGGCCTGGCTCTGCACTCAATGTACTGCTCATGGGAAAAGCTCCCTTGTGTAGGGTGGGAGGTGGAGATGTTGGAGCTGTTTTTCGAATACTTCAGTGAGGCACTCCTTGTGTGGCACACGTCCTGATTTCTGATCACCCGGTGCTTTCCTGTGCTAAACTTGTCACTAAAACTCATTGTGGTGATATGGACCCAAACAAGTGGCTTTTTAATTAAGAACTTAAACTCAGCATTGGTTTCATGAAGCCTTTTTTTTTTTTTTTTTTTTTTACTGGGATTTGATGCGTAAGAAATATTTTTCTCTCCATTGAAAGCTGTTCCTCAACATTTTGGTTTTATATAGGCTTACTTGGAAGAGGTTTCATGATGAGACGGTCTCGCTCCAGCTCATACCTGATAAAGGTTGACCAGAATCACCATGCCCCCATTGGTGCTGATGGCTATAGTTGTCCAAATGAATAGGAAGGCCAGCAGAGAGCTGATGTGCTGTGTACCCCTCCAGATGACCCCTCTAGCTCAGGGCTCGGGTCGTGGGAGCCCACAGGGCAGCGTGGAGGTGCTGGCAGTGCTTCTGTCCGTGCCTCATCTGCTCTTGAGCTTCCCTGGCTGATAATCCAGTACTTTTCACAAGTATTAATTGCAGTTAAAAATAACTAAACAAATATTTACCTAATATCTGATCACAAGCAGTATATAAATATGCATATTTTTAATCTGCGATTGCTCAGCTTCTGTAATAATATTTATAGTCTTAAAGAGACCCTTCTTTTTCCAGAAGAACCGACTCCACATAAAACCAACAGCCCACCCTCTGGAGTTGCATACGCTCATGATGTCCTGGACTGTGGCCTCAAGCCATGCCCCCTGCCTTTTCCTAGCCTTTCTGCAGATCCCATGGGCAGATATGGACAGCCAGATAGCATAGGGACAGCACCTACACACCCTGCGAGCGCCGCAGGGGCCTCTGCTCCGAGTCCTAGGATTGAAATTACTTCATATCCTGAACTGATTAATTCAGGGGGTCCCTTCCGCAGCAGAGACACCGATGTTCTTTTGGTAGAACATCAGTCAAACTCAGCTACCACTAGCCCAAGGGTTACCCTGCCCGTCCCTGGCTTTGAGGGCTACAGAGAACCACTGTGTCTGAGCCCAGCTAGTAGCGGCTCTTCTGCAAGTTTCATTTCAGAGACAAATTTATCTCCTTGCACATCACCATGTGTTTCACCAAATAATGGTCCTAGTGATGACCTTTGTCCGCAGTTTCAAAACATCCATACTCATTATTCTCCTAGAACCTCTCCAATAATGTCACCACGAACAAGCATCACGGAGGAAACCTGCTTGGGACAACATTCACCATCACCACGTCCCAACTCAAGGTCTTCATCACCAGGTGCAAAACGGAGGTACTCTTGCACTCAGCAGCCTTCCACCTCTCCACGACAGTCAAGGACCCCCTCTCCACAGTCCTCTCCGCGCATCCCCCTGAGGGAAGACAGCTCTACGCTTACTTACACGCAGTTGTCCAGCGCTCCTCTTTCCATGGATGCTATGAACAGCCTTCCTACAGATCCTTCCTGTGGTGTTCCCACCAAAATTTGGAAAACCAGCCCTGACCCTTCATCAATGCCTTCCCACAAAAACAGCATTCCGTGCCACGTCTTTCAGACTGTTGACTTCCACGGGCCCTGCGAGCAGGAGGACAGGAGAAACTCAGCGCCAGAATCGATTCTGTTGGTTCCTCCGTCCTGGACAAAGCAACTGATGCCAGCAATACCTATCTGCAGGTATGTAACGCTTCTCGTGGTTGTGGGTTCTCCGATGGTATAATGCCCTATCCCATGCACTGTGATCCTTAGGGCAGACCCTGCTGTAAAGCAGAGCTATGTGCTTAGGGACAGCAAAGGTTAATGGGAGTCCAATTCCTATGACTGCAAGGGATGAAAGATATGGGTTTGGAAGAAACGTTGTTGAAGTGATTCACTGGTTCTGCGCCATGCAAAAAATTCACATTAGTTTGCATAACTGCAGCCCTGGTGGGGTCTTTGGTGGGCAAATGTATCAGGGCTTTGAGAAGTAAAGTGCTGGAAGCTTCAGCTTGCCTGTCTCTTGTGCCCAGCTTGCCCGTCCAGTCTCTGCCGCCCCTCGAGTGGCCGCTCTCCAGCCAGTCTGGCTCCTACGAGCTGCGCATCGAGGTGCAGCCCAAGCCCCACCACCGCGCGCACTACGAGACGGAGGGGAGCCGAGGGGCTGTGAAGGCCCCGACTGGAGGCCATCCTGTGGTCCAGGTAAGGACTGGAGAGGAAATGCATGGGGAAAAATGGGCCGGCTTACGGTGGAAAGTTGTGCCGGGGGCTGACCCGGAAACAGGGAGCTTGTGGCTCTGTGTGTGGTTGTGGATGTGCATGAGATGTCTGAAGTTGGACGGTGGTGGTGAGGAAGTTTGAGAAGTTGGTTTGAACTGGCTTATGAAAACTCAGAAACTGAACAAAAATATTTGGTACTTTTTTCTGGGCTAAATGTTGAATTCCTGTGATCCAGCTCTGTCATAAGATGTCTAGATGACCTAAATTCCAACTGAGCTCATTTTACCTTGAAAACAGGCTCTCTGTTGGTTAGGGTGTTTTGAGATGCTCAAGGTGTAAAGATATCATGCCTGGCTTTCAGGCTCAGAGACCAACCAAGCTGAGATTTGAAATAAATAGCAGACTGTGTTAGATTTGCAGCACTGTGGATGAACGTTTCAGAGCCTTGATGCCCTGGGTTCCTGCAGAACGAGTTCCCATGAAATGCAGGTCAGAGGACCTCACCTGTGTGTGATTCAAGCACTCATTATGTTATTTTCAGTCTAGCACCTGCTTTATACATAACTTTCCATAGATGATGAGCAAAACTATCAGTAACTTGCTACCTCCTTTTTGTCCTGGATATGTGACACCAATAGGAAATGGTACTAGATGTAATTGTGGTGTGATAAGGAGACAGGAGGGCATCAGAATTACATAGCAGTGGGGATGAGCTGAAGAAAATGTTTGCCCTCTTGAAGGCTGTGGCTGTAGAAAGAATGTGTTGATCAGCTTTGTAACTCTACAGAGAAAGGATGAATGAGTTTAAGCAGGAGCTCCCTGCTGAATTGGGCTGATTTCTGTCCAGGCACAAAATTTTCTATGTCTGAGATTTTGCTTGTAGTGCTATTAAAAACTCTGGTTCTGGTCCTACCTGTGCTTGTGAGAAGGGAATTCATGCTGCTGAAATCAGCAAACCAAATCCAGGCTGATAGGGATGAGGGTAACCAAATTTGGCCTGCAGCTGATCCATGGAAGGGCTTCTTCACTGCACAAAGTCTGTGGTAAAGAAATGGCTGAGTAGCTGGACTATAGCTGTTTGGGGCCACATCAGGCTTTTCACTCATTTCCTGCTCATTTCAGGTAGTATCCTGAAGGAAAGCCAGGCTTTTGGTCAGGGTTGCAACGTATTGATGTGATACTGCTGGTAACTGCATGGCACCTATCTGGCTCAGCCACAGCTACAGTTTTCAATAAGCAAAGTTGGGGTGCATTCTACAGCTGTTCCCATTGCACTCATGACTTGCTACAGGAAGCCCAGGCCAGGAAAATGCTGATGTTTCTGCTCAGTTCTAAGCATGTGATTAATACTAGTAATTTCACAGGGTTGATTTGTGCTTGACTTCAAAGATATGTTAAATATTACCCTGCAGGCTCAGCCCCTTTTAAAATCAAGCCATAAATTGTTAAATCAATGAATGTGTTTACTTTGGTTGAGCTGGGCTTGTGTATGTAAACTGGATACTTAAGGGTACAGCGTGATAATAAATAGCAATCACCACATCACCATCAAGTTTGCCATAACTTAACAGACAAGATTCTTTTTAATTTATAAATCTGACAAGCTCATAACCCACCGTGGTGTGCTGGCAGCTCCGTGGATGTGTGAACTGTATATGCAGTCAGAGCTCGGTCATTTCTCAGTTGCTTACAAGCAGTATCATGTACCTTTCCAAGATGTTCCTAACCTCTGGATGTTTATTGCAGTGAATGACTTTCTTGTCATATGGGTAAATACAAGTGTTTTGTTTCCTTCCTGTAATCAATATTAATCAAAGAGGGATTTATATTTTCTGTTGGAGGCAGGAACTGATATTCCTAGTTTTATCATAATTTGCTGTCGAGCTTAAGGATCTTAAACTGTGAAATCAAAGATCCCTGTTAAAGTCTCCCAAACAGATGTGCCTCTGCACAGCTGTGCCTGCATATGGGGGAAATATGGACAGTTTCTTTATGAAGGTTTATTATAAACCTGGAAGTATTTGTTGGATCTCTGTTCACTTGAATGTAACAGAGTTCATATGGGTACAGAGCACTGAGATAGTTGCACCTGTACAGTTTATGACATCTGAAACTCATGAAGGCTAGTAAAATCCAAAGCTTTCATGTCGTAAGTTATTTGGCTTCAAGGCTTTTTTCCTTCTTCCCCCTCAGTGCATTTTAACTTTGTGTTCCAGTCAGATTCTGATATTACAGCCACAGACAAAATGAAACAGAAGAGATTTCTAGCACTGTGCAAAGTGCATATGAGTTTCAGGCAACCGATTGCAAGGAAATTGGGTTACATGGCTTTTCAACCAGTTGTGTCTGCTTTCAGCCCTGTTGCAGAAATGCAGTGCTTGCCTGGGGATGACAGGGCTGCACTGTTGTGGCCTTTAGACCTGGCGTTGGGGCTTGGCCACGCTTTTGAGCACACCAACCACTCTCAGGTTGGTTGGGGTTTTTTTTGAGCGCTCAGACCCCTCCATGCCAACCTTCTTGAGCTCAGCACTGTCTCTTAAACTTTTGGACTTAAACACTGAGAAGCCAAACGTACCCTGGGTCCCTGAGCCCCACCACAGTGGTGGTATTCATAGACAGAGCGACCATCCATCCCATTCGTGTTGCTGTGTTTTACACCACTTTTGATAAACTGCTACTCATCTATTTTGATTAATTTTTCTAAAATATATTATATATTTTTTCTAATTTCCTGTTAAATCAACCCTTTGTGTGGCTCATTATGCCACTGAGCCTTCTGGAGGAAGAAATGCAGGCTAGCTTTCACAATTTGGTCTTGGTCTGCAATATTTATTTTTTGAAAACTAATTTTGCATGCAAGTTTCTTCTTTTGGGCGCTCTGAAGATACAAAGCAGCAGATCTCACATCCTCCAGGCCTTATCTTGTGGTTTATCTTTCTGATGCTGCTTCCTCCTCTTCACATATCTAGCCCTGAGAGTTTGTGCTCTGCACCAGTTGTGCACTCCAACTTTGGCGGGAGAAGAGTTCGATTAATCAAAGTGACAATTTAGATGGGCCAGGCAGAAGAGGCCATTTGCTTTGTTTACCTGGGGAAGGAAGAGAGAAGGCATTAATCCCATATAATGTTCACAACATCTAACTTCAGAGATCATCTAGAGACATGGAGAAGTGAAGGCTCCCAGTTCAGTTCTGAATCATTATGAAGGAAACTACAGCTTGCTGTCAACTAAAGTGAAACTTGAGCCTTTTAGAGATGTAAGTTGAATGCCAACATTTTGCTGGTCTAAGTGTCCCCCTGGATGTCAGATCACTGAGAACAGCAAGGAAATCCGGAGTAGCAGGGACAAAGTACGTAGTTTGCACGCATGCACCAAAGTACCAAATAGGTGTTTTTTTTCCTTTGCACATGGGAAAATGTGCCAGTAAGAACCTCTGTGCTTCAGGGAGACAGATTTTCAATTCTTCAGCAGAGATGGAGATGAAAAGAAATAACCTATTTGATAGGAAAGGCTGGGTATGAATGAGCTTTACCCTGTGGTCAAGAAGAGTCTCTGGTCCCTTAAAAGCCATAAAAATTTAGAAAGCTCTGCTGTTCTGTTTTTGTCCCATTGCTTTGCATGAAGGCAGACTTTTTCACGATTGAATTGATATTATATGTAATTGTGTGATATTTTGGGGAGTTCCAAGTAGAGCCCTTGTCCTTCCTTCAAGGCAAGAGAAAGAGAAAGGGGAAGGGAAAGCTTTAAAGGAAGATGAGCAGTTGATTTGTGCAGGTCATTATCCACGCGCTCTGGATAGTTGGATCTGTGCTTGCTTCATTAGAAATGGTTGTGTTCTGAAACACTTAGGTCCTTGTAGGTGGTCAGATAGATAAATGTGTGCTTTACTGCCGCGTTCACCTACAGCAATTGAGAGTAGTGACAGAGGGCGTCAGTTTCCATTGTGCATCTGCCACGGTCATAGAGATGCTGAGAGAGACTATTTTGTTGAGAATCTGTTTGAGAAACTTGTTTCTAAGTTTTTTTTCCCCAGTTGCCCATGTGTTTTGGACTTAGCTTGCTGTAAGCAGTCCATGGGGAAGCTGTGTTTTACACAGCTCTTCAGCACAGTAATTTGTAGTAATTTTCTCAAAGGAGTGTGCCTAACTCTGACATTGTTTTTTATTGCCATCTTAGCAAAGCCTTCCCCTGATAGACTGCTTCTCTAATTTATCTTTACAAAAGGCTCAAATCCTTCTGAATGAAAACGAGCACAGAAGCAGTCAGTAACTTCTTTGCATCTCTCATTTAGTTTCTCATACTCTCCCCACGTTATTAAGTTTTTCATCTACAAAGCTGTCGTTTTGCATTGCTTGTGCCGGATAGTTCAGTCGATTCAGCACAATCTGAGACTGCAGTTTGCAGAAGTATCCGAGCGTGCTTTTGCTGGGGCTCTGATTTATAAAGGCAGCAGCTGGTTCATGGTGCACAGCCTGACCCGTACGGACAGCCATGGCCACTGTCGGCACGGCCTGGACCTACGCAGTGTTCAGGGGCACCAGGAACCTTTGCGGAGAGCAGCTGGTGGTTTATCTGTGAGGGCAGCATCAGAGGACGGGATGGGAGCATGCCCTTGCCTTGTAGCAGCATTGCAGTGGTTTGGGTGCTCACCAGGAAGTGGCAGCCCCACACTTGGGCCCTGCTGTGCTGCAGACCCCAGAGACATCTCACAGCTCCCTGCGACTGCTTGCCCTGCTGCTAAGTGCTGGGGTCAGGGTTGAGTTGAAGGCAGTCAGTTAAACTGAGCAGGAAGGCTGAGAGAGAGAAAATTGCACGGGGTCTGTGCTTTGGGCTGGAGCACCTGGGCCACCTCGTTCCTTCATTTCCTCCTTGGAGCAGAAGGAACCTCAGGCAGTCTGACACCAGAGCCCCTGCCTGCTGCCAGTGCCCTGAAATCACCTGGGAGCTGTAGTTGTTTAAAGCTGATTGGGTCCTCAGCCTCC